CCACAAAGGGTGCATGAGCCCGATCACTTAACTTGATTTGCAGGCCCGAGCCCGAAGCAAACCCGAGATTTCATATTTTATTTGTGAGGACTCGGGAGGAGGAGGGGTGATTTCTGATAACAAAGCCTGTCTTTTGGAACGAAATCTAAGTTAAACAAGACTGGATAAACATTTACATCTTTCATATTTCTGTTCCTGAAGAGGTTACATCAGCGGACAATTTTCCATCATTGACGGATTTATTTTAAGAGTGGACGGGGAAAATTTAAGGCCGTCCGTCATTTTGACGCGTTGAAAATTGAGCCATTCACCACAGCAGCAGTACGTTCTTAAGAATCGAGTGCGGCACTTGAAGAGAGAGAAGCAGCGAGACCAAAAAGAACAATGACAGCAGGATCATAAAGATATGAAGGAGTTTTTTGAATTGTCATTGCGAGAGTTTAGTACAGTACGTGTTGTGATGACGCCGCTTGTTTTTTTTTTTGCAAACCACGGTCTCTCGTGGCCAAAACTATTCACGGCCTCGGAAAAAAAAAGTCAGCGAGAGAGAAGCCCGACCCGAACCCGAAGCAATGATTGACATTTTTAGACCCGACCCGAAATTCGGCCGGTCCACCTATAGTGTACATGCATACATATATATATATATATACACACACACACACACACACACACACACAGTATATATAATTTTTTATTTTTTCCGGAATTTTCAGGAAAGTCCACTTTCATCTCTGTACAATGTAGCGGTCATCAGCATGGGATGTGGCCAAAGGACGTCCACTTCTACATCTTTCTGTGACTCTTCCAGTCTCTTGGTATCTCTGTTGCAACCTGCTGATGACACTGTGAGACTCTAAGCTCAGTGGCCACTTCCGTCTGAGAACGTCCTGTTTGAAGCATGAATATGGCAAGATACTGTTGATCTATTGTTAGGTGTCGTCTTGGTCTCATGATGTCAAAATATGAAAAGCATGATGAGGACGACTGTTTAAATACCAGGATATTTATTAGTCGATTCATGGATCTAAAAGGACTGAAACATTTAACTGTTGCCCATCTGTATTCAAAAGCATGGGGAAGGTCATATTAAGTTCACCTGTTAAGGTTTGATGGCAAATTTCACCTGAAAGCCAAATATCCCGAACTTTTTGTGAGTACAGTAAATATTCCCATCCCCGGAATTCTATGAAAAGGAATATCCTTCACCCGGAACAAAAGCCTGTGCATTAACATTTTGACTACGATATTACATGTTACCGGAACTTACGTAAGCGGAAATTCCACTACCCGTAACCCGGATTGAGACGTCATGCCGCGGGATCTTAAATACACGCAATGCCCACCCGATGCTACGGAACGACCACACCGAGACACATTTTCACTTCGCGTTTTTCGATCATCAGATTCGAAACGACGACGCGTAAGTGAGTTTTTATTGGCGTGCGTTTTACTGTAATTGTGAATGATTTTAACTTTATTCACTTAACGTCCTGTAGAACGCGGCACTAGCTTAAAAGCAGCACCCACTCGATACGACCGAACAGACGTGTTCGCTTCGCCGTTTACATTCATCAGATTCGAAACGAAGACGTGTAAGTGACTTTTTATTGGCGTGCGTTTGACTGCAATTGCGAAAGATTTTAACTTTATTCACTTACGTCGTGGAGATCATGGCATCGAAACGTAGAAGAACTGTAATCACTGGAGCGGAGCGAGTGAAATGCACCCGTTTGAGCAAGGCTGGACACAAAGTTAAAAGCATCCAGCAGACACTTGGAGTCGGAAAGACGCAAATCTACGAAACTTTAAAAAACAAGGCATCGATTCAACTCCTGATGACAAGCCACCATTCAGCGAGGAAGCAATGCAAATGGCAACAAATCCATCAGTATGCACAAGAATTACCAGACATCGGTGATCAACGGGACAGTTACTTGCAACTAGCAACAAAACTGTATGACACGCAGGCAAACATTGTCATAAACCAAAGAATGCATCCAACCAAACAATCCAAAATAGACACATTTTTTTCCCAAGACAGAAAAAAAATAAACATTAAAATACTGTACGTATTTTACTGTTGTGATTTTTTTGGGATACACCTGTATTGCAGTTTTTGTTATATAAAGTTTTTGGACAGTATATTTTTGTATTTTATTGATTGTGTTGTTACACGTGCATTTTTGTCAACATACTTGCAGGTTCATAAAGGACATGTACCATGCTCATTTCCCAAATGAGGAATTTCTGTTATCAGGACAAATTGGACAGCGCAAACACGAGTCCGCACGAGAGAATCTTTACTGTACTGTGATTCATGATAATGCATACATCCCTGTTAATGTAATTTATCTCATCACGCGACTTGACTTTTTCACGAAGGACAACCCAACATCTTCATAATGTTCCAAATAGCAGCACATATTTTGGAGTCAGCTAACAATATTGAATAAAATATTACGTGTCGTCTTTTCCCAGATATGTGAAACGTATCCTTCAGAGCTATTTATTCCAAAGTCAGCCTCACCTGCCGTCATTTTGGGCAGCTCAAGGTTCAGGAGCCGAGGACGATTTCCTGCTCTGTCATACTTTCACCAGGACACACTGGTCAGTGTTTCAGACAATCATACTGAACTACCATAAATGAGTGTAATGTTAATAGCATTATGATGATGTTTCATTGCCTTTAAGGCTGCAGTGTGCAGGTGTAGTCAGCCACTGTCAGGCTTCAGTGGACGTTGTCAGGAGGATGAAGCCATGCTGCAAGCTGTGATGAAATCCAACCCTGGAAGTGCCTATATTTATGTGGTCGATACGAGGCCCAAGGTAACACACTTAAGACTCACCTCTCAGCACATACCCGAGGAGAGCTTTAAAGAGAAACAGCTGTTTACATCGAGTTACAGATGCTCCCCAGCTTACGAACGAGATACGTTCCGAACGATCGTTCGTAAGGTGAATTCGTTTGTAAGTTGCTTCAGTGCTATATTTTGTATGCAATGTATGTTTAAGGCTTGTATAAGTATGTTTACTTGCTAATGATCGTCGATTGCATCGGCACTGCACCTTTCACGTGTTCCATTATGCGATCCTTCTGTTTAGAAATGGTACCGATGGTCGAACGATTCATGTTGTATGCACGTGCAACTCTCACCATTTTCTCACCCGCATCAAGCTTCTTTATTATTGCCACTTTCATTTGAAATGAAATGGCTTGCCTCTTCTTTACACTTCCACTCTCACGAAGAAGCCTTTCGCTTTTCACCAACCATATTGAATAATGAATGCACGAGATATTTAACAACTGGGCAGAGGAAGCCGGATTCGGGATGGATGCTGGTCGAGCTCTCACAGCGCCTCACGTCGGTATTAGCGGCGGAAAGAAGCACTACACCTGAACTGTACTCGGAAAAAGGCGCGCAATACAAAATCTAAGTTTTTCTTTTCTTTTTCGACATACCCGTAAAAATGTTCGTATGTACCGTTGTTCGTAACTCGGATGTTTGTAAGTCGGGGAGCGTCTGTATAATATTTCCCATGTACACTGCTTTTTATGAATGTGTGTCCAGCTGAATGCCATGGCAAACAGAGCCGCTGGTAAAGGCTATGAGAATGAGGACCACTACACTAACATCAAACTGCACTTCATTGGCATCGAAAACATTCATGTGATGAGGAACAGCCAACAAAAAATTATTGACAGTAAGTAGGATTGCAGACCCGTAGACCGGCCGTGTGAGGTGTCTTTATTTCTTCTTCCTGGATCACTGTCCTGTGTATAAATGATTCAGTGAGTAAAGATGGCCTTGTAATTTACCGGCTTCCACCTTTCGTGTTGGAGGCATAACAGAGGCATTGTATGAAGTCTAAAGCCAGAAACAAACCACCCACGCCCGCCCGTTGTGTTGAAAGCAATAGATGAGTTTCAATGTTTACAAACATTGCCTCCAAGATGCGCAAGCATCTTAATGACGTCACTGTTGTTTGCAAAGACAAGCATTCTTAATTGTCTCCTCAGTCCAATTCTCACGTCGTCAAGCTTGTAACCATAACTTTCGCTGTTTTTTTCTGAAAGGGGTGTACACCAGCAGGAATTCTATAAAAGACTAGATCTCTGTGTGTGCCCTTTCCATTCTGACAACCCATGGCACGAGACTATTATGACTCACAAGCATGTGTTTTCTGCCTCCAAGATGCGCGCGGAGCCAGACTTAATGTATGCATACGTCACATGAAACTGATCTATTGTGGTTGTTGCAGGTAATTATTTAATTGGTCTGAGCCCAATTGCCAATGTGAACGTGCACATCTATTGAAAGGAAAAGGACAATCAATTCTGGCTCTCCTGTTACTGTTATGCCTCAGATGTGCCAATTTACCAGGAAGCCAATGTTTACTTTTATATATAGATATATATATATCTATATATAAAAAAAGAATGTTTAATTAATAAGGGGCGGCTGGAGTTTACTGCCTGCACTATACTTGACCATCATTCGGGGCACCACATCTGTTTTGGGGATTAAATTAAAAAGGCTTAAACAGACAAAATAAACCTCTGGAAAACAGTCATTAACGAGACAGCTGCAGCATTTGAAGAGTTGTGAGTTAATTTTTGAAGCTTAGAGATTAACTTTTAAATACAGACACACACTATACAATGCAGTTTTAAATCATGTGCACATTATTCTCGAAATCTACATGGCAATCGGAAGAAGTACATCATAGGGAAAGTAACGATGATGATAAAAGAAGCAAATATTGATAAAATCTTCGCACATGACTGTTAACAGGCCTGAGGATTTCAGAAATTAACAAACTGTTTTTCGGTTCCGTCAGGTTACCTAATGGGAAACCACTAACTAATTTTGGGTTTCGTAAACATTCATCATGGGACTGATATTCATAGTCAAGATTTGTGATACTCAAACGTATAATATTTAAAGGGTAAATGTTTGAAAATTATGCATTAACAATGAACATAATTACATCAGCAGCCGTGTACACCAGGTTTATTCAATAAAATAAATGGATCAAAATATGTTGTTTAACACTTTTATTGTACTCATATGGCATCATGAATACAGCATACCACAAAATCTGGCTACAAGTAAACATGACACTGTTAACATGATTATGTGTGTGTGTACTATTTATGTAAATAAACATAATATCAATGGCTACTCACCCCCTTTATTAATACAAAAGCATGTAATAAGAATTGAATGATTACAATCATGTGATGAATCTTTTAAAAAAATGACCTTATTTCTAAATATAGACTTATAATATTGATATGGCTTGACGTCCTCTTTACAAACCCAAGACGATGCACTGTGTAATCTACTATCAATTTGACCAAAGAATCTACCACACGTCATCGTTGGGCCTACCGACAGTTAACATTTGTATTACTACACCTTCTGACGAATGTTTTATTCCTAAAGTTACCATGTCTACAACTAGTAATTTATAGAATAACTAAGACTGTTTCATAATATTCTTCATAGCGATTAGCCTTTAGATCTAATGACCAACTTCAAGTACTTGCCTCGGAATTGTGTCTCCCGTTCTATTTCTCTTTTGTGTTTTGTGCATACATCACACGTCATGTTGGTAAAACGCCCTTCATCGGATGATATGAAAGAAAATTCGACTGGCATTCCCATTTCTTAAATGTAGTAACTAATACACCTTTTGGTGTTTTGTTCGCCGCCATCTCTATCCATCATCCATGCGCTTTCTCAGCGTGCAGACTAAAATAGCAACCCGCATTCGCACATAATGTTTCGTGTTCCGCACCTCCACCACTGAATAAAAACAAAACGAAAGGAGAATAGAAGAAAAACACTCACACATCACATCACATCACACCACACCACAAACACACATACAGGCACAGTGAAATCGCTTTGATCACACAGGAGAGATTTTATCGCATACAGTCAACTAGTGTGTGGTGATTTTTATGGGAAACGATTTTTCGGTACCGTACAAATGATCCCACGGAAATGACACGATACCGGAAACGATCGTTACCGTGAAATTCTCAGGCCTGTGTTAACTTTCTAGATGGAAATGGCACTCATGGAGTAAATTAAAAAAAAGTTTCAAGTACCAATTTTGTACACACTGGCAGCCTGCAAAATGTCTCCCAATGTATGAGCTGTGTGAAGTTGGTCCTAATTCCAATCTCACAGTCGTTTGAAGGAGGTGGCAGAAGTCAGGGGAAAAAATAGTAAAAAGCAAAAGTTAAAAATTTGCTCTGTTGTATATAAAGAAGTAAAAACTACTAGCCGAGGTTCATCATAATCTGGGACCCCAGTGTCATTGTCTGCATGTACGTTATGAATGTCAACATCAAGTGTGTTTGGATTAGGTATTGCTATTGCTCCCAGTGTCTCATCATCATCAAGGCTGAAGTCAGACTGGTATGCTTCAGCAGGTTCAACAAAATCTGGATCACCAATTTCATCGTCTGAAATGGATTCTGTCTCAGATAAAGCACCATCAGGAAGGCAAACCATTTCAATGGCTTCCTTGAGTGAATAAGATCTTTGTCGCCCTGCCATAACGCACCACACACCTGCAACCAGAGTATTCTGTAAGATAGTTCACTAAAAAAGCTTCCAGTCCAACAAAGATATATACTAATATAATATGTGCAATGGAATTTAGGCTACATCAGTTTTGCTCACTGAACAGTCAAATGAACATTGCATTATGCCATTGCGTTTGATCAAGTCTGCCTCTGATAGTGTGTAACTTCACTCCAAATTATTTCATTTTCCATAGGATGCACCCTCAATGACAACTCAAATCAATAAGTAAACACTGGTGATAGGAAAATAACCCTAGTATAGACTGTTGCTCAAAATATAGGTAAACTAGACGACAAAGCATGTGGCATCCATTGGGACTAGTCCGGCCAAATGTTGCAAAGCTGCAACAATGAAACAGAGCTGCCCCTAGGGGAAAACCCAGAGGAGATAAAATCTACAAATTGGCATATACTGTATCTCTATACTGTCATGATTCATCTTATAAAATAAAGGCGATTGGTAGTAATACTTACATGAAATGGATGCCTAGAAAATAATTTCATGTGTACCCAAGAAGGAAGACATGTTGAAAGTGAGAAAACTCGCCATCCAGTGAGTTATTGCAAACTGTTTGTTGCCCATGCACAACGAAGGTCTGCAGTGGTACTTTTGAGTAAAAAAGGGCTCATAAAATATGAATGTGGATTAATTAGGGGATTAGCATTTAGCTGCTGCAAATCTGCAACACCTGCCCCGAGAGGGGCTTTAATCCGACAGCTTTCACTCTCTTGCTGAGCGGCTAGCTTGCTAGGTGCTAACAGTAGAGCTTTAGCTAAATGCAGGCAGCAGGCACCGTACAATTTAGTGCATATTTATGTCCTTTATTTATTTAGTGCACCCTTAATTAGCGATTGAACATGATTGACAGTGCACGCATTAAAAACTGAGTACTCGAGGCAGAAAAAAAATCCCAAAGCATTTTTCTGAACCAAGGTTGCGGAATTACTCGAGTACCTGTTTTAGTCCTAGTCTTCCATCACCCACTTTAGAAACAAACCAGTGTCCCCTTTGCAGATGATGATAGAACTTGAGGCGTGTGGAAATGTCCAAACTGTCAAACTGTGGTGAATCGTTGTTGATAACAATGACAATAATTTGAAGAAAAACAACTGTTTCAGCTGTGTGTGTGTATTTCCTTCTGTCTTCTATGCAGTGGGTGAAATGCGATCTCCTTCGATGACTGACTTCCTTTGGGGTCTGGAAAACTCTGGTTGGCTGAAACACATTAAAGCTATTCTAGATGCTGGAGTCTTCATTGCCAGGGTATATATTTCTTAATCCCTGTAAAGTAACACTTTTACTTCGTACTTCAAACTGTGTGTGTGTGTGTGTGTGTGTGTGTGTGTGTGTGTGTGTGTGTGTGTACAGTGTATATATATAATATATATTAGAGCTGTCAGTTTAGCGCGTTATCATCGGCATTAATTTAAATGAATCTTAACGGAAATTTTTTCTCGCGAGATTAACGCGGCACACTTCACAGCGGATGTTACGTTGCTCTATAAATACACCAGAAACAAAACAACAAGCGTGCTGCACAGGTCCACGCACGCGCGAGACACCGAAAACGGATACTTAAAGAGCTTATGAATGGAAAGTTTACTTTTAAAAAGTTGCCAGATTGTTCCACTGACAAGACCAAAGTTACCTGTATGTTTTGTAGTCGTAAACTGAGCTATCATCAAAGCAAGTCGAGTCTGAAATACCACCTAATGGCTAAGCACACAGCTGACGTGAGTACTCCGCCCCCTCGTCTCAGACAGACAGCTATGGATCATTTCAAAGCGAAGAAAATGGATGACACGACGAAGAACAAATTGGCTGAAGCCATAGCTCAATGCATGGCTACTGCATGCAAGCCTGTCAACATTGTCCACAGCTCGACTCAAGCTGAAATCATTCGCATTGCATCGAATGACTCCACTATGGATTGCCAGCGAGAGCCTCCATTACAAGCTGTGTACAGAGATTGTACGTAGCGGAGAAGGCTAAGGAACACCAAGCGGGAAAAGACACTGTTTCGGGAGAGAAATAAGAGACTCGGTTGATGAGCCTCTGGTGAATAAAGAGCAGGTAGCCTGTTGAGTACGATGTATGCCACTGACACGATTGTTACTTGTTTGGAACTATTTTGTGTGGAAGGTTACCGTGTCCATATAAATAATGGGGGTGGAGCTTCTCTGTGTTCGTCTGACAGCGACGGTGCGCTTCGGCACGTCGAGAGTTCAGCGGTGCAGTGGTAGCAACCTAGCGACCACACTGAAAATAAAAAATCTCCTGTGTTGTCATCGAACCAAGTGTAGTCATCCGAAATGATGTCTACACAAAACCATAGAGAAACTTCCGCGCAAGAAGGACCAACAGAATCAACATAGCCTGACTGCTGTGTTCAAAGCAAACTTGAGAAAAACGAAGTATGTGTGTTAGCGATCACTCCGCCAAGGACTATATTTCGGTTTTTCCGGTCATATTCCATAATATAAATAAAAAGATAACAACCACTTTTTTCTCTCATGAATCGATTTATTGAAAACTTATTGATGAGCGATAAAGGAATACGTGAACATGCAATAGCCAATGCAGTTAAAAAATACATCTGTATTTCACAACAGCTGCAGTTGTAACAAGGCGCTTTAGAGAACATAAAATAACAAAATAATTGAACACATAAGATATGGACAGTCATGCTATCGTAACCACTATTTCTACATACGTCTTGTTGTATGAAGCAAAAGACAAATATGGATTAATTTATATATATATATATATATATATAATATGTGTGTGTGTGTGTGTGTGTGTATGCATGTATGTATGTATCACCATTCACTACTAGTTGGCAGACATTCGATTGCGCTCATATAAATTTATGAGCACAAGACTACCTACATGTTAGCTATCCAATTAATGAAAAAAACTACGATATGGGTTGAATTTCATTAGCCCCGAAAAGGCTTCCCATGGTCCCAGATGTTTTTCCATTCAACTTTTTTGTGGCCGAGCAATTCAGATGGAACTGTCTCAGAACTATCTCAGAGTTGGTTCAAAAGCGCCGGACATCTGGGGCCAAGCGAGGCTGTGTTTTCACTGTTATCTGATTGGCTGACAGTGCTGCAGTCAGGAACTCTGTCCCACATGCCCATTTCCTGGTTTTAGACAAGCTGCCCGCTGGCCCTTGCCAGAGTTATAAAAATACAGTATATACAATAAACAATGGTCTTTCACAACAACGGTGAACCATATTTACAATTTCATCCATACTAATGGATGCATTTTTGATAAATATTGGTGAAAGTTTTTGTGAAAGTGTGCAGGCAACACTTGCTTGCCAGGTCTCATTAACTTGAATGAGAGGATGGGGGGCAGATTAGAGACCTGCCGCTCCCCCAGCCTGACCGATTGTGGCCCCCACCTCAGAATGGCGGCTTCGGGTGGCCGCTGGAGAGCTTCAGAAGCCGCAGAGTGAGGACGACCAGCTGTTGACTCAGAGGCGGCCAAATGAATGAGAGTGAGTACTCATTCAAAATGAATGAGCATTGGCGGCGAGCTATGCGTGCTGCTCACGAAATCACTGTTGTGCTGTTTTGTCCATGGTACATATGAAATTGTAAATATGCTTCAATATTGTGATCAGACACAAACTAGGTATGCGGTATACACTGCATTTTTTTCTTGGTGGTGGTTGGCTGGTGGCTGTCATAAACTTGGAAATTGATTTTTTGTCGATGTGTGAGAGCTTCTGTGTATTCAATGGACTGTACTTATAATGTTGCCACATCATGCAAAGGGAATTACTATTTTGAATTGCCCCAAAAAATAGTGGCCAAGACTCAACCCTTGGAAAATGTTATTATACACTGCAAGCTTTCACAGTACAGTTTGTCCCGCCCCCATTCCGCCTCGTTATAATGGAAAAGCAACAAAGGTGTGTGGTGTGGTGCCAGGCATTGCAGCATGCTATGATGTGGGGCTGCTTGGGCCCAAAGGAAGAGCGGCATAAGTTATTACGATCCTAAATCTTGTTTAACATAATCATGAAAGTAGCAGGTAGTTGCTAGTTTTTGACACATAAATGTATTGAATGATGTATTTTCAGGCGGTGGCTGATGAAGGAGTCAGTGTGTTGGTTCACTGTTCCGATGGCTGGGATAGAACAGCTCAGGCCTGTTCTGTAGCCAGCGTACTGTTGGACCCATTTTATCGTACAATCAAAGGAATGATGGTAAACACACAGCCACACACTAGGGCCTGACCGATATGGATTTTTTTTATTTTGGGCTGATGCCGATTCTGATGTTAGGCAGAAAAAAAAATAAAGATTAATCCGCTGAAATAATTTCATCCATCCATCCATTTTCAAATCCGCTTTTCGTCACAAGGATCGCGGGGGGTGCTGGAGCCTATCCCAGCTGTCTTCGGGCAGTAGGCGGGGTACACTCTGAACCGGTTGCCAGCCAATCGCAGGGCACGCAGAGACGAACAACCATCCGCGCTCACACCTTGGGACAATTTGGAGTGTTCAATGAGCCTGCCATGCATTTTTTTGGAATGTGGGAGGAAACCGGAGTACCCGGGGGAAACCCATGTAGGCATATCGAGAACATGCAAACTCCACACAGAAAGGTCGAAGCCAAAATCGAACCCTGCACCTCTGCACTGTGAGGCCAACACAATAACTATTCGACCACCGGGCCGCAAATACTGCATGCATTTCACATTGTGGGGGTGGTGAATTCTACACTGATGATGAAAATGTTTATACATTCTATGGAGACAATATCACGACCATCCATTTTCTGAACTGCTTAACCTCACAAGGGTCGCGGGGAGTGCTGGAGCCTACCCCAGCTGTCTTCGGTAGTAGGCAAGGGATGCCCCGAACTGGTTGCTAGCCAATCGCAGGATATCGGGACCATTTATTATAAAACATGCAAACTCCACACAGGAAGGCTGGAGCCAGGATCAAACCCACGACCTCTGCACTGTGAGGTCGAGGCGATAACCATTTGACCACTGGGCCGCCCTGAAATAATTTAAAACCTATAATTCATAAAATACCCCCCCCCAATTCAATGGGTGTCAATTATACGTGAGTTTTCGCTGTTCGTGGGCTGCCCTGGTCACCATTAATAGCAGGGATCAACCATTAGTATATGGCTCGGAAAGATAACTTGATGTTGCACTGTGTTTTTATTTTATTGCTTTAAAAAAAAACTTAACTGGCTTTAGGTTGCGTGTAAAGTAGTGAAATCCAGATCAATTACTTGCACAACTTCTTTGTATTGCGCACCAAAGGACTGCATGTAAAAATTAAGATTTGCTTTGTTTTGAATGACAGTTCCAAATAATGACCTAATCAACAATTCCATTAGATGTATTTAAGGATACAAGGTTATGGTCTAGATTTATCCGTAATAAATAATCAGACCAGAGTTATTTGCGTACAACTGCTGTAATTGGTTTGAGTACATAAAGATAAAAACAATTGGCAAATATCGTTCGTTTAGCCAATTAATTTCGTTGATATTTGAAGGGCCATAATCGCCCAATTTAATCGACTGGCTGATTAATCGGTCGGGCCCTACCACACTCAGACCACGCACATTCTACAGTATTTGTTGTTCTAAGATCACTGTCTGTCATGCAGCTCATCTCTTTTCAGCTCTGATCTGCTGGTAGGCCATGTACCTGAATATGGCAGATCTATTTTTATTGTTCAGCATTTACATGTGTTCCTCTTCTCTCACGTAGTTGCTGATAGAAAAAGACTGGGTTTCGTTTGGTCACAAGTTCTCCCACAGGTCTGTAACTGATCAAACTTGACAGCACATCAACACCAGATCACAAGTTATAAGGAAATTATAACTGTTGTTACTGTAGTTGTTGTTTTTTTAAATGAAATCCATCCATCCATTTTCTGAACCACAAAAATGTAATTCAACACCCAATCATTAAAACAGAAATTAACTAGCTAAAACTTTACTTTGAACAGTAACTGTAGGGGTCACTGTGACAAATATAATACTCTCTTTCCTGCAAACCAACGTACCAAAATTTTCTCCCACATGTCCTTGTTAGGGTGTCGTGGGAGTTACAATACAATAGAATACATCCTGATTTATAATAGCGCTTTAACAACAGCTGCAGCTGTAATAAAGCGCTTAACAAAACAGTTAACATAAAGTAAAATAATAAACACAACACATAACACAAAAACACGGGCAGTCGTGCAATCTTAACCACAATTCCCTCATACGCTTTGTTGTTTGAAGCAGTTCAAGATGAAAGAGTTGAAGCCTATCTTAGTCGATTGGGCGAGAGGCAGCCTTGGACTGGTCGTCAACCAATCGCACCGCACAAACGAATGAACACTTGAAATGTACCAGTTTGTGTGGAATGAATGTATGCATTACACAAGTTTCACTCTTTGAATGGTATTCCGGAAATTGAAAATTTTTCATGATATCCACATTTTTGACGAGTATCAGGATGTGTTGATTCCACAGAAATATATATTTCGATTTTTTGTTCAATTTTGAATTTTGAAAGTAAACCTAACATGCATGTTTTTGAAATGCGGGAGGAAGCTCGAGTACCCAAAGAAACCGCCAATCCCACGCAGGAAAGCCAAAGCTGAGATCTGAATCCCAGATCTGAGAAGTGTGAGGCAGATTTACTCACCACTGTTGTCACCACACCAAAATCAAAATAACAAAATAATGTTTTAATGTTTTGACTGCAATTATTTAGCTATCAGTGTTTTAGTTGTAGTTTTTGTATTTTGTTCTCTCCAGCTTCTCCAAAAGCAACTTTGAACAGAAGAGGAAATTAATGGATGGATGCTTTTATTCCCTGCAGAGAAAGTCACGTTGGTTCCAATGATTAAGAGAACCTTTGTATTTATTTCTTCAGGTATGCCCACTTGGATGGCGATCCCAAAGAAGTGTCCCCAGTTATTGATCAGTTCTTGGAATGTGTGTGGCAGCTGTCTCAACAGTTTCCATGTGCCTTTGAGTTTAACGAGTGCTTCCTCATTGCTATACACACACACGTCTACTCCTGCTGGTATGGGACCTTCCTGGGCAACTGTCAGAAGGAACGCAATGATATGAGGTAACAACACAAAGCACACAATTCAGCATGGTAAAGAACCTTTTGAGGAGCAAGAACAGGGTGGGCACGGCTAACCTCGAGGGGCACTTTCCTGCATGTTTTAAATGTCTCCCTGTGTGTTGGAGGAGGGAGACATCCAAAACATGCAGGAAAGCGGCCCTCAAGGACCGGAGTTGCTCAGCCCTGTACTAGAATGTTGTTTCGGGTGCTGAAAAGGTCTTTAAACTTGAGATGGCACAGTACAACGATTCACAAAATGGCTCTGAAAATGTTTGTGTTGATTAGGATTCGCATAGAAAGTATTTGTGCTTAAAAGTAGTACAAGCACAAGTAGGGATGAGGACACTTATATTTAAATAAAGATTAGATGTACGTTAAAAATAGTGGAACTTGTGTTGTGGCCCGGTGGGCGAGTATTTAGTGCGTCGACCTCACAGTGCAGAGGTCGTGGGTTCGATTCCGGCTCCGGCCTTCCTGTGTAGGCTTTGCATGTTCTCCCCAGGCGTGCGTGGGTTTTCTCCCGGTACTCCAGTTTCCTCCCACATTCTAAAAACATGCATGGCAGGCTCATTGAACACTCGAAATTGTCACTCGATGTGAGTGTGAGCGCGGATGGTTGTTCGTCTTTGTGTGCCCTGCGATTGGCTAGCAACCGCTTCAGGGTGTCCGCCGCCTACTACCCGAAGACTGCTGGGACAGGCTCCAGCACCCCCCTGGTGACCCTTGTGAGGACAAAGTGGATCGGAACATGGATGGATGGATGGATGGATTAATTTCTTTACTTTTAAATGTGCCTGTGCAGCCCTGCCTACTACCAGCCACAGTTTTCAACTGGTCTTCAAAAATTCTAGAATTAGGGGTCAGTCAATGGTCCAGAAAATGTTCATTCAATTGAAAGATTAGTATCTGAGTTAAGACAATTTTTTTGTTTTCTATGTAGTAATATCATGGCCTGCAAACTTAAGTTATACCTCAAGGTAGTGATGGGACGATGATACCTCAAGGAGTGTATTGACCCACTTCACAAACTATGTCAGCGCTGTATTGAGACTGTGTTGGTCACCCAATAGTGACCCCTGCAGTAGTTATAAAATCATTGCAGGTAAAGAAATTCATTGTTTATATAAATCTTAAACTGAGTTGGTATGTAAAATACAGCAAATTTGAGTTACAATTCAGATTTTTAACTGACGTAGAAAATTTATGTTAAATCATGTGAAATAAAAGACAAAAAAGTGATTAGTTTATGAATTTTTATTGAGGAACAAAAGTTTTTGGAGTGTCTTTGCTCCAAGGCAATTTCTCCTCTGAGACACCAGTTCCCCAGCCTCAGAAAATACTCTTTCACATGGCTCAGATGACGATAGTGAGCAGAGAGTTTTAAATGAAAGTTGATGCAGATGTGGATATGTTTTCTGGTTCCATTTCCAATATTGTAAAGGGTCTTGTTTTCTGGGTGTGTTTGCTTCTGACAGGCAGCGTTGGACTTCAATTATGGAGGATCTTGCAATTATAAGATAAAATGAATAAAGCAACTGTAAGGCTCTTTAACTGACTATCATATGTATAACAGGTCATTCACTTGATAAACTGATAAAGTGGGTGCAATGCGCCACCGTAAAAAAAATTGTATATAACAGTAAACAATGCTCAAAGGAGAAAAAGATTTACCAAGATCAAAATTATTCCACACTGGGGAAAACTTCTTAGAACGATCCATAATTTCGCAAAGCTCCAGCCAACAAACCCACGACATGTTGATACAGTTTCTGTCCTTATAAACACACTTTGGCGCAGCATATTCAAACGAGTCAGTTCCTGTATTGGTCACGTGATTCTTTCTTAAAGCAATACACGCACCGATACGGGGTTTCACTCTTGAGCTCTCGGCACTGTGCTGACGCACCAGTGTCGCTCGTCCCATCACTACCTCAAGGGATTCAGCACATTTCATTTGGATGAATGTGTATAACTGCTGATGATGTGCATATGTGCATCCCTCAGGCTTCAGGAGCGCAGTCATTCCGTGTGGCCCCAGCTGTGGAAGGACAGAGCAGTCTTTACCAATCCACTGTACAAGGCTGAACTGAGTCAGTGTCAGGGTGTACTGAGACCTAACACCACCCCCTACTGTTTCAAGTAAGTCACTACTGTGTGGATCCTCAATTCAGTACAGTCCAGTGATCCCTCACTCTAACGCGGTTCACTGGTTCACTTTCTGCAGCTTCGCTGCACGGATTTTTTTTAGTGCAGGTATTTAAAAGCTTTTAAACAGTGAATTGCGTTCTGCATCCTGATTGGCTAAGGCACTGACCGATGTGAACAGTCTCCACACCTTGTCTCTGTACAGCTTGCCAAATTTACCTTTGCTAATTTTTGGTCTTTGGTTTTATTGTCTCAGTAGCGGATGCTGGTCTGTCAAGGAGGGGAAGCTCAATTTCGGCCTACGTCATAAAATGTGTCCGTTTATTTACACGTGAATTCTACTCTCCGTTCCTTTTCAAAAAAATGACAAGGTTGCCTTCACCATAAGATCGGTGATTGGCTCATTTCGCTGTCAATCAAAAAGAGATTCAGCCTCAGACAGATCATCTAATCATCATGCAGAAAGCTGAGCTTCCTGGCCAGCCTAAACACGCCCACTGTCCAGAGACTCCCAGAGACGCTGAGCGTCCAATGGGCGGGACAAAACCAGCATTTATCCAATGACTCGTCTCGTTTCAATGCATTGGGACAACCTACCCTGAATTCTCTCGACGCCCAGCGTGTGCGCTGTAGACGCTCAGCGTCCACACAGTTTAAAGCACAGTGAAGTTGCGGGAATGGATGAGAAGAGAGTCGCGTCGTAACCAGTAATAAGAAGCTGATTCAGAACAAAAGTTGAGCGCGTTGTAGCGCATATTTAGTCAATGACATGCACACACAATTGTATGTACACACATATATTTGATCACTTATTTTTTGACATTTTAGGGGAAGCTGAGCTTCCCTTGCAGTCTTAGAGCAATCGCCTCTGCATTGTATACATAGCTCAGTATTGTATAATAACTGTAAAAAAATAAAGCTGACTATCAAGTACCAAGTACAACTTTATTGTCAAATGTGCTGTATGTGAAACATACAGCACATTTGAGATTTTGGCCCTCTCGCATTTTATTTGCTTTTTTTTTTATTTATAAATCCTACTTCACGGATTTCACTTATCACTGGTTCTGTTTGGAACGTAACCCCCGCAATAAACGAGGGATTACTGTACTGCACTAAAAGTGAAACGATGATGGCTTGAGTAATCGTTCTGTGTTACACATAAATTTCATAAAGTTCATTGATACAGAAAGATGTCATTCATCTTGTATCTACTCCCAAAATATACCTTGGACATCCTTGATGGAGTTATTTTTAAAAGTATTTATTTGTTTAGAACTCAATATACACTCGGCATGTTTTTGTGTTGCACACCACAGAGAAAACCAAATCGCACATGCAGGCACGCACGTTTAGGTGTCACTAGCTGTGTCCAAATTCGTAGGCTGCGTTCACCAAAGGGCCCTTAGCAGGCTTGGTCCTTCAAAGGCTCCTCCTTTTGTAGCCTCAGTGGACCGCATAAACCGTAGCGAATTGGGACAGGTCGAGTGACTGTTACTTGACTGTCTTCTGTACCACCACAAGGTGGCGGCAATTTGCTTGGCTGGTAGAAGAGACGATGAAGTGTAGAAGAGCGGAGCAATGTAAACTACGTTCGCTCAGGGCCCATCTCTATGGAAACAAATTTCATTTTTCATTGATGTCCTTAACTATGGGCTACTGCTTGCCCGTATTACTTTCTACTTGTTATTGATTTAGAATGTGGAAGGGACTCTACAATCATGCGGAGCAGTCGACGCCTCCTTGCCAGTCACCAGCCGACTTTCTGTCCGCTATGAGGGAGGAGTCCCAGCAGCTGGAGGAGGAGCTGACCAATCACCAGGAGGTACCACCAGGAGGAAACGCTCACCACCACCCGGGCTCCAGACAAGGCATACAACACACAGAACACTCATGACATTGCTACACATTTTCCCTCTCTAGTTCTGCTTGTTCCATCTTTGGAAGTTATTCATAATGTCCATTTGTGCTGTTGAGCATTTCAAAATACAAACCAACAGTAATGGCACTCTAATTATAAACCTAATTCCAAAGAAGTTGAGACATTGTGTTAAACATACATAAAAACAGAATACAATGATTTGCAAATCATGTTCAATCTATATTTCATTGAATACACAACAAATACAAGATATTTCATGTTCAAACTGATCATGTTTTAAAATTGTTTTTAACAACAAACATTAACTTTGAATTTTATGGCTGCAATACGTTCCCAAAAAAAGCTCGGATGGGTGGCAAAAAACACTAAGAAAGTTGAGTAATGGTCATCAAACACCTGTTTGGAACATCCCACAGGCTAACTGGGAAGAGGTGGGCGCCATGATTGGGTATAAAAGGAGCTTCCCTGAATTGCTAAGTCAGTCACAATCAGTGATGGTGTGAGGTTCACCTCTTTGTGAACAAATATGTGAGAAAATTGTCGAACAGTACCTTGAGTATCCTTCTCAATGTACAGTTGCAAGGAATTTATGGATTTCATCATCTATGGCTCATAATATCATCAAAAGGTTCAGAGATACTGGGGAAATCACTGCATGTAAGTGACAAGGCTGAAAACCAACATTGAATGCTCGTGACCTTCAATTCCTTAGGCATCATCTATGTGTAAAAGATATCACCACATGGGGTCAGGAATACAGGTCGGCGCTACATCCGTAAGTACAACTTAAAACTATTACAGTGGAAACTCCTCTACAAAGAAATCATGTTTGCAGCAAGAAATTTTTCACAAGAGGGGACTTTTCACTATAGTGAATTTATCTCAGATGTAAACACACACACAAACACACAAACGTATGTGTAAGATAAGATGAGATAACCTTTATTTGTCCCACACTGGGGAAATTTGGTTATCTTATCTTACACATGTTTGTACTCTTTATTTTTATTCCAATAGTACATAAGTATGAGCATACACTTACTTGACACTTCATATAGCCAGTGGAGAAAGAAAAAAAAGGGGAAGAAATTGCAAAATTTACGATCAGCATTCACTTTCACTTACATCAATTTCTTGCAAAATAAAAACATTTTACTTTGCTTCCTCCATCTTTCATTTTTATTACTTTTATCCTGTCTTCAAGCGTTAAAAAGCTTTTCTTCATTCCTTGGTCTGTAAAGGTCCGTTTTTGTAGCCATAAAATCTTAAGTTAATGATTTGCTAAAAACAACAAAGTTAATCAGTTTGAACATTAAATACCTTGTCTTTCGGGTGTATTCGATTAAATATTGGTTGAATGTTTTTTCAAATCATTGTATTCTGATTTTATTTAGGTTCAACACAATGTCCTAACGTCATTAGAATTGGTGTTGTGCATAACAGATGAATAAGTCAATGTTCTTCCAGAGTTTCACACATTACCCAACTTTGCTTCACAAAACTAAAGAAAAGTGTCTTAGTGATTTCCCTGATGAATCAGTGATGAGTAAATAAAGAGAACTTCTCACTTCTCTTTCTTATGCAGAGAATATCTGCGCTAACAGGGAAACCAATAATGTGGGAGAAAGTAGTGGTTAAAAGGAGGACTCGGCACATCCAGCAGAGACACTCTGGGCCGGACCCACCCAGCCCATACACAATTCCAGTCACCAGCCCCGCACAGGACCACAGGACCTTTGGACCAGCCAACCAAAACGCTATGGTGAAGGACCCCGGTCTCACCACATCTGTAGGCCAGCCCATCCAGGTCAAGCCCCTCAACGCAGATGACATCTCCAGCGACCTGGAGTCAGGCGTGGCTGACCTCAGCAGTCGGTCGTCCAGTGCTGGGGAGGAGGCCAAGGACCCGGAGACGGACGAGATAGCCTTCGCTACTGCCTGACTCAATACTTAATTGGAGTGGAAGAAGACCGCTAAAATAGCTATGTTAGCATTGTTTTATCTGAAGTGAATTTTTTGGTGTCTTTCTGGACAAAGGTACTTTATGTTTTGTCATATTTAAGATGTGAAAGCGCATATTTGAAATCAACAATACTTGAGTGATAATTTGCTGGCATTTGTATTTTAAAAAATGCACTTTCGTGATGGGTCCGTGATTTCATGCAGGAAAACATGATGGTTTTGGGGAAATGAGTCAGACATCGGGCAGTTGCTTTGTTTTCAGGACAGAGAAATCTTGTGTTGGTTATCAGAGTTTTCATCTAAAAGGAATGCAGCAAGAGGAGAAATTGTCAAACATTTGTCATGTCGTCTTAACATTGGAAAGCCAACGTGCAGGCCTGTTTGGTTTTATAGACATTATAGAAAACCATGCTTTTTTTTTTTTTAACTGTATTACAACCTTTAGGAATCACTTTGCGAATGAATTGGAAGGGATGGCTGGACTTGTAAGCCACATAGGTAAGTGTTAAGTCTGAATGCAGAAAAACAATTTGATATGTTATAAAACGAACAAAAAGTGAACATTGTTTACATCAACAGCTGCTCATGCCCCCCCCCACCCCCACAGTCATCTCATTCTGTGCAATATAATTTATTCTTTGTGTACTGAATTACGTTCTCAGATTGTACTGTGATTTACCAGTTGAGTGCATTCAGGCGTTACTGTAAGTGTTTATAAACTTTTGCGTGTCTTCTGTTTTGTACACACACCCAGAACCCATTCTTGAATCAAGAGATGTTGTCAACCTGATCTCTGCATTGCTTAAACGTATGAGGTGTATATAGTGGCAAGCATTGTAAGACCTGATCTTGTTAAGTTTGTATTTGACTGATGAGGGACACCAACAGATTGGCTGGAGGTGGGGATGGTGTTTGAAAAGCATTGTTGAATTCCCTGAATGAATGATGAGTAGCAGTAGCAAGCTGGTATAAATTTCACAACACTGTCAACATATGCTTAAAAAAAAGTTGTGAAAAAGCTTGACATAGCACAGCAAAATAAATTGTTACAAGAGAGGAACATCTGATCAATGCCATTTCCTTCTTACACTGCTGTCTGGCGTGCATGTGTCCTGTGTTAACGCTGCATCAATAAACACTCAGATGGCAACACTCTTGATGTGACATATCTCAAAGACAAATGCGAAAGATTATGACGTAACATGATTTATTTTTTTGAGAACCTGTTATTCTCATTTCCCGCAAAATACAGCAAGTGATAGTTGTAATTATGAAATGTTTATGGCTACACAAGCAGCTGTAGTTTCTTTCCCTGTTCGTGTCGGCCTACTGTTATGACATCATCATGAAACAGCAAGTCTTCTGCATGCTGTGCAGTAGTTGGTACTGGTCCCATAGGCAGGCAAAATTTGGGATTTCTGGGTGGGCCTTTTACCTTTCACAACTCCCTTTGAGCCACCGCCAGATAAAGCAAAATAGTGCATGTTTCTTGTACCTTTTTCTTCAGTAACTTGCAACAGAAAAAAAAAAACCCTTCATCCCACTTTGTTTACACACAAATGATCGAGTTATTAGCTCAGGGATCGAGGGCCGTGATTCAATTCTTCAATGAATATGGTCAATGAAACTCAGATTGTATTTTCCTGAGCAGTGATGGTGTTAATTAAAAAAACCCCGACTGACACAATTATTCCTGATTAGGTTGCACATTATTCCAGTTATTCATCATTCATTCTCAAGCGGATAGCTACGAAGTCGCTAATTATCACCAAATGTTGGCAATTACAGTCATCATTTAAAAATGCCTTGACACTTTCATGATCGGATTTCAAGTCATCAACAGTCAAATGATGCCTCAACAAAAACTAGGAACCGTAACTTGAAAGTTAGAGCCTCCGCAACTATTACAACTTCTTAAATACGTCTCTTCCGTCCTTGACATGCAGTCGATGGACTCCTCTCATGAAAAGAAAAGCTGCTGGCACAGCGTTATTGTTTCATCTGGACAGGTAACCTCATGACCAATGGTGCGAGGGTCGCAGTAGATCTCATAGTCATTTCCTCCCTAAAGCAAAACAAAGACAAAGGCAAACACACACACAGATAAATTGTTGAAGTTATTCCCTTTTCATCCCTCCCTTCACAGAAATATTTCCAATACTATATGAATGACTTAAAACTGCGCAAGCGCAGGTTAGCGATGTTGGTTAAGGCTGTGTTTCACCTTGTGACATGTTCCCACGTGTCACAGGAATGAAACACCACCATAAGGTCCAAGGACAACCTATACAAGTTCAGTTCACCTATTCGCTGATTCTTGTTTTGTTCTATTGTCAGTTATTTGCTGAAAAACAGTTTTATAAAAAGCTTTGGCTTTTCATAAAAACTGTTTGGCACCATCATGTGGCATTGTGGTGCAAAACGTATGCTGAAGGGAGTTGAGGGGCTTCATTTTGACATAATTTGCACTCAGCCACCACCTGGTGGCATCTTGGTGCCAAGGAACTAAGTTGAAGCACCCCTACATTTTCTGCTTGTGCCTCTGACCACAGAATAGGTACCACTGTGTTCCTAAATTGCACGGGGAGATAATACCAGCAACAAGATTAAGATTACAATACCGAATCCTTGATCAATTTATGTCTGCGGTGAAATTGTGAAATGACATTTTGGGTAAATACTGACCAGCAACAGACCAAATGCACATCACAATGAACGGTTCAGAAAAAACGTTGAGCCGAAACTTCCAAAAAGGTTCACTTTTCAAGTGAGGCCCGAGCGACATGGCTCTGAGACGCATACTCACAGGTTTAGTTTTGTCACCAAAGAAGTGAATGGTTGAGTAGTTGTCCTTCTCAATGATCCCCAGGCAGTATCTTTTATCCCAACCGTCAGGAAACACATCAAAGCTGATCTGCCCTCCTACAGAGAAACCAGCAGTGGCAAAACATGAATGGAACGAATCACATTCCAAACGCAGATGACTTACCGATTGAAAACGACAACCCTTTCCCTTTGAACTGCTTCCTTAAAACAGACACAAACTTCTCCCGGATTTTTTCTCTCTGTTGGGGCCAGAAAACACGAAAGCTTCAGACAGTCTTTTTGCTGAAAAGAAGCGAAATCCCAGCCATCACCGGCCTCAAACCCAGATGAAAATAGGTGAGCAGGGAGGAAGGGCATCCGCCGGTGTAAATACTGCGCTCTCGCAAGAAATCAGAGATTGCAGTACCAACTTTCCATCAGTAGGGGATGCTAATACCACTTGAGCATTTCGAATACAGTCGAATGGGGCTTTATGCAGATGGGGCAACGCAGTGCAATTTTTGTGTTGATCCTCCTCGTAAGAGTACATAATTTATCGCTCTCTCTTAGATGTATAATCAACTGACGAGTGTGACACTGCAAGGACTTCCATTTACATACATAGCGTACAATCAAAGTAGTTTATCATGCTGAAAAGACCGTCTTGTTCCTGTTCGAGGCCTTGAAGTTAAGATAACCGCATCAGGACAGCGCGCCCGTGACGCATCCACAGCTGCTGTCACAAACCAACCGTCAGCATGACTCCTCCAAATACATTGTGTGTTTCCCCACCCCTTTAGAAGTTTGTTGTGTTTGGGACACTCCGTAAGACAATAAAAGGGAGGAGACAAGCAAAATGTTTCCAGAGCTGTTTGGAGATTGTAATGGATTACACTCATTCACTCTCCTTGTGCACATGTAAAACACAACTCTGCTTGACTCCGAGTCTCTTTTGTGTTTTAAAGTTTGTCTTAAGGGTCTGATTGCCCGATAGATTGCCTGACAATCCTATTGTGGTTGACTTTCGACTTGGCCAACTTTCTTTTCCCTAGTTGGATGACTGCAACTCTCTGACGTTGAGTGACGGGGCAAAATGTATCTTCAAGCTTCCCCAGCTGAACCAGAACGTTGCTTAGAACACTAGGGGTAGAGACACACTCTTTTGTGGCATTGAAATCAATCAATCAAAGAGACTTTTCAGAGGACTGTGTGGCAATAAATATGCTAAAACAAGCCACTTGAATTATTCTCAGAGTGAGTGTGTGGATGCTACCTGGTCCAGCTCAAAGAACTCTTTGCGTTCCTCCACAGTACAGTTGCGTCCAATCGGGGAGACGTTCAACATGCCGTTACGAAATTCAATGAATGTACCCCTGTCAGAATTTAAAAAAACAAAAAAAACCCAAAAGAAACATGAATAAAATATACACAAAACACAACAACAAATGTCAACTACTTTTTGAGCAAACTGAATATACTGAATATTGGCCACATTGGAAACAAGATGATGGTACTGACAACAAGAATAAAATGAGAATACCTCTTCCTGGGAAGTTTGATCTTGGACAAGTAGTTGAGACAGAAATTGATAAACTCTTGTAGCAGCTCTTCTCCCATGTGGGCTTGGATGGACTGATGATAAACAGCAGATTAAGTGGCCCCATCTTGAGCATGAAAACACCTCAGTAGGCTTAAGAGCTTGGTGAAGACAATGTCTTTACCTGAATAGATAGTAGCTGTCCCTCCTTAAAGGCCACAAGACCATTCTCGGCAAATACATAGTCCACTTTGTGGATCACTGCAGACATCAGACAGTAGGGACAGGCATGCATAACCAAAGTTAGCACATCACACATCTCGGTAAGGTGCAGCGCAAACCAAAATCCCTGCAAACTACAGTACGCTCGCAATAATAAACTGCACGCTGGGCATTTTTATCTTTCTCACGGCAGAGTCGATGACACATTTTTATTACATTGCATGTCAATGGGCTGCACCATGAATAATGATGTCATGGGCAGCTAGTGCATGTTTGAAAGACACAGGTGAGGAAAATCTTTGTTCAAAGGTCAGGTTTGTGCGTCTCACCGTCATCTCCCAGTTGCTCTTTGATTTTGCTGAGGTCCGACCCCCCCACCACACCGACACGAACCTTCGTCTTCAACTTTTCAATAAACGTGGCCATTTCCGCAGTTACAGGCTGAAAGCACACAAGTGATACAACAGCAGAAATATAAATAGCAGCAATACAATTACAAAGCGACTGCATAGAACTCTCTTTACGGACAGATTGTTCATAATTCTTTATAAGAGCTTGTAAAAGATAATGCATACTTTCCAGAGTATATTTGTGTCTTTTTTTAAAGCTCACTTGCAAAAACTTCCTGTGATAGTTTATCCTTCCCATACACTCTACTCCTTTAAATTGGGTTTTAACATTAATAGATGTTGAAAACGCAAGGCCTTAAGCGGTCAAATTAGTGAATATAATTGGGCTGAGCTGTCCACTGCATCAATATGTCAGTAATTATGGATACCTGCAGTATTTACTGCAGTGGCCAGAGGAATATTTTCACTCTGGAAACGTCTCGGACAGAATTCACTAACATGTGCCCGCAGAGCACACTTTAGCTCACTAAAGGCCTTTTTCCAATGCACTGGTTCTATCCCGAACCAGCCTGGTTCCACCCTGTGTGGTGGCTTTTCCATTTCACCATTGATGGGCAACTGGCTGGCGCCACTCTCAACTCAACTGTATTTATAGAGCGCTTTCAAACTCTGAGTGGTTCCTTGATTTTCCTTGTGTGTGTGTGTGTGTACATAAGATAAGAAAAACCTTTATTAGTCTCGCAATGGAGAAATTCCCAATTCACAGCAGCAAAGTTATGAAAGGAAGAAGTAGAACAACAAAATATAGGAGCTGCTGGAAAGGCAGCCACTC